TCGATAAGCTTCTTCACCTCCGCTTCGAGCTCCAACAATGTTATTGCTGGCTTTGATTCAATCAATTGTAACGCTCGTAGTCTTATGTCCTGATATGCTTCACCTCTCAAGCCACTTATCCAAATCATTATGCATACTTGCTCGTCGGACATGATCTTGAACTCAGACGACGTGAAACCACGGAGAACCTTTCCGGTGTATTGCTCAATACCAGTACCATCATATTCTATTCTCAAGAAGTCTTGGCGTTTTCTAAAAACGGAAGTCGTGCTTTTGAACAAGGTTTTGAGGGTCTTTGTGGTATCATTAAAACTTATCTCAGTAGGATTCTTCGGCAAAATTCGATTTGCGTAGAGGGTATAGGCCTTGGAGTCGAGTTTATCCAGGAGTAATCTCGTCTTGCTATCCTCTGGGAGAGTTTCGCCATCTTTCACAACAATGTTTTCGTAGCGGCCCCACCAGTTTTCGAAGGTTAGATCCTCTTCCGGTTCGTATGTAAACTTTGGGATCCGGGCACTCAGAGATTCTAGAAGTCTGTGGTTGTTGGTCGCTTCTGCCGTCGGGATAGTTTGTGGAGCGGTGCCAATTTGTCCGTTCTGAGCCATGGTTTGGAATGTCGCCACCAGAGCTGCCATTTGTTTCGTAAGCTCTTCCATTTTTCAAATCCAATGATCGCCAGTGTTGTGTATGTGTGGTGTGTGTGCTTGACTGGTGGCGGACAGGAACAACGAGGTACAACCAAATACTTTATTAGCCAGAGAGAGAAGTTAGAGAGAAATACAAGACTGAACTGATTTAGCGGAAATCAGTTCTTTTATAATAATGATTGACCTTAGATGGTTATCGAAAGGTCAAAGAATAAACAATAAAGTTCACACGTCAATTATACAACTGCGGAGTTGTAACAGTAAACATGGAACTGAACCTCATGTCGCATTTAACACTCATGCCGTCGGGTAGAGTTGCCAAAGGACATTTCACGGCGACAAATGCAAATTTATATTTTTGCATTTACAACACACACCGGGTTTCACACCGGCGTTTCAGGTGCAGTTACAGAAACTGGTAAAAAGACAGGTTCTTTGCGTGGATGAAATTTGAAAAAAATTATCATTTATTTTCCTTCGTGTCGGGGCCATGATACAAACTTCTGTGTCATGCTGAAAATCTTTATATATTCTTTAAATCCATATTATTTGTTTAAATCCATCTTTTAAATTTCCTTCCAATTCTAGAAAATTTGAAGTGTGTCTGCGTCTATTCAAGTCGCCTGTTCCAGACTAGCCTACGAGACCATGTTCCGATACTGTTTCCGACTGCAAATTAACATTGGGGCGTGGCCGTGAAAATCATTCAGAATAACGAAATAAGATGAGATAAAAGATGATCCGAGTATGTCTAGAAAACAATTTATTATGATGAGAAAGCGATTAGAAAAGAAAATACTATCAAAAAAGTAAACAGTGTACAACAGGAAATCAGACAAGTTTTAATAAGAAGGAACAGGGAAAAAGTTTCTGTTATTCCGTGCTGCTCGAGTCTCCAGCAACCAATAATACATATTGTTCCCTTCTTTGGCAGGAGCTCCACCGTCACAAACGACGCATTCTCCTTCGCGATTTCTTCTGAATCCATCTCTCAATCGACATTCGCATCGTGATGGCTTACAGTTGCGGAAGCATGGAGGATCTGGCAGACCGCATTCTCCTTCACAAGAACCACATCTTACCCATTCTTCGTTTGGTGGGCCTAAAGAAAGGTGGTTGAATTGAGAATCAGCAAATTATAATTCGTATATTTTTTCTGGTTTTTTTCTCTTTTCAATATTCAGATGTTCAAAAAAAATGAAAAAAAGAATCCACAACTCACAAACGATTCCAGAGTTTTCATTCCCCTCGGACAAAGATCCACTGAACTGGATGATCAAACTGAACGTCTGAAAAAAATCATTTCTGAACCGACGTAAAAATTATGAAACTATCACTTACCACGAACAATGATATAAGAAAATTCTTCATGTTTGAAGCAAGTCACAGAATATTGTACATTGAACCAATAGAACCATACTTATATGTTTCTATCTTATCTATTTTATCTTATCGGTATTAGTCCCATTACGCTCACTTTTTGTGCTATTTGTGCTCGCGGAACATTGCATGAGATTGATAAAGAACGTAGAGCTACCCATTCAATTGAGCCTAAACTGTTTCGATATGATGACAGATCCTCGACGAAACGTCTGCAATCTGACGTGATGGTGTTTGCAGACTCGGCATCATTTCTTACGACAATTCGGTTTTTTTTAAGTGAAATACAGTGGCTGGTTGCTCCCAATTGATATCGTGGTGGGCGGGTCCAAAATTGGTTTGGAGCAAAATATCGCGTATATTGAACCCGCAAGTGAGCATTTTTCGAACTTTGGGAGGCCGTATATGGTTGAATTTTGGACACCTATTCACATACTTTGGAAATTTTGGCCCGGAGGTCCGGATTCAAAAAAATTTGAATTTTTTTTTTAAATTTGCACTTTCATTAAAAAAAACTCACATTTTTTCACTGAAACTCCATCAAAATAGTGTAAAATGCTTCAAAGACACACACACTTCTGTTTTTGTGCTCAATATAACCTTGAAGCACAAAATGTGAGAAAATTTATGTTTCAAAGTTCGCGGTAATCTTCCGGGCCGAGCGGGCCGGGCCGTCACAAGTTTGCTAATTCACACGGTCTTCATATTCTTTTCCAAAAAATAGCGAGATTTTTTAGACTGACATACCCTCGAAATTTTTTCAAAATACTTTGTTTCAACATCTGGACATCCATGCATACATAACTTGTGCACATATTTTTGGTATTGTTTCATTTATGTATGTTTCTACTCCCCTCCATCAGCTCCCCTATGTATGCTCCTCTCTCTCGGTTATCATTCGAAATCAATTTCAAGATAGTACTAGTCACTGAAGAGACAGTTAGACATGAAATGGAATGGAATGGTACGGGGGGAACCGAAAAGCAAACAAATCGCAATTTGCATACACACAAGACGAGGGATGCAACGACCGCACACAGTCAAGCACAACAATATATAATTTTAGAAGGCGAAGGAGGACGACTCTTTTCTATACACATACGACACAACTGTACACTTTTTCTCTTTGCGGTGCTTCTGCTGCTTCACCTTGTTTCTCCGTTTTGATTTTCTTTTGATCTTTTTGGAAGAAATGATGGGTCATGGGTTATTATTTTTGTGCATTGGAGCGCGTTTGGGATTTTCAGAACTTTTTTTTCGATGAATGTTCTTTCATTCTTGCTAGATTGTTTGAATCATTTTTGATGGTCGTTGAAAAATCGAGACTCCAGACTCTTGACCCCTATAAGAGCCAGTTTCGAACACTGACGATCGAATTTTTCCGAAAATTCGGAAGTCTGAAAAACTATGCTTGTAGATCAAAGAATTCTCTATCGAATGATATAAATTGCACAAGGAGTTGTGTCAGGAAAACTAGGTCCAAAATCAAAATTTCAAAATTTTATCACTAAATTTTCTGTATTCTTCGATTTTCGCTAGCATTTTTCCGAAACAAACCCATATGATATTCATACCAATAGATAGGAAATAAAATTTCCTATCGATTGGTACAAATATCATATCGGAGTGTTTCAGAAAAAGTAGATCAAAACTCGAAAAAAAGAAAATTTAGTAGAAAAATCTGGAATTTTCGGTTTTTTTGCCTTTAGCCCAACTTTTCTGATACAACTCTTTATGATATTTATGCCAATCAATAAGAAATTGAATTTCCTATCGATTGGTACAAATATCATATCGGAGTGTTTCAGAAAAAGTAGATCAAAAACCGCAAAAACTGAAAATTCAGTACAAAAACACGGATTTTTCGATTTTTCACCTTTTTAACCCAACTTTTCTAGTACAAACCTATATGATATTTATACCTATCGACAGGAAATTGAATTTTCTACCGATTGGAACAATTTTCATATCGGAATTGTTTCAAAAAAAGTAGATCAAAAGCTCTAAAAACCGAAAGTTTAGTACAAAATTCTTGATTTTCAGATTTTTGACTTTTTACCCTACTTTTTCTTTTTGGGGACAGAAACCCCCAGCCTAGGATCTGTTGGAAAATACTTCTGTCCGTGTGTCTGTGCGCCCTGTAAATCTTTGTTCCCGCGTTTTTCTGATTTTCTGATTTTTGAAAAATTGTTGCAAACGCGCTCTATTGAAAATTTGGGTTTTTTTCAAAAAACGAAAAAAATTCCGTGACATTTCCATTTTCCACGTTTCAAAAATTCAAACACGTGGTTCCTAACTCTTTCAAATTTTTCTGAAATTATTTCCATCTTCCAATTTCTCCGACGAAATGTTCGTTGACGTGGTGAGCTCCCTTTCTAAACGATGCTCCGATATCCCGGGTCGAACTTTCAGAGAAGTGCAACATTGTCCGAAGCGTTCACATTTCTGTGGCAAGCTCTCGTTTTTCTCTCCATTTTCTATTTTTTGAAGTGAGTCAGTAAGTGCGCTCCATTGACAAAAAAGGGCGCTGAAAAAAGGGTCGAATATTTTTTGTCGTTTTTTTTGTAGATCAAATTTTTATTACACTGTCAATGGAGCGCACTTTCCTCCTTTACTCATATTACCTCACCTCCCACCTCCTTGTTTAGGAAGAGAATCAAGACGAACAAAATCGAGCGTCGATTGCGTCTTTTAGAACGCAAACATGAGTGCGAGTGAGTCATAGGGAAAGAGTCTCACCTTTCAAATTTCCCTCCAATATTCTAGATGGATCCTTTTGGAGCCGGCCCATGCACTCAGTAAGCTCAAGGCAATGCAATTCTTCTCGGCGGAGAAGGTTGATGATAATTGAACTTTTTTTGGTTTGAAAAAAAATAAATTTTTGGTGATTTCATCTCGAAAGTCCAGAAAAAAAAGTTTGTCAGCGCTGCCGTTACATCAATCAAGTAAGAAAAAAAAAAAGAAAAAAGATTTAGCCACCGCCGGGATTGAACCCGGGACCCCATTTTCCAAAACCTAGAGCGTTAACCACTAGACCACTGATGCGTCGGCAAGCGCGGCGTTCTCTGCGCCCCCCCCCCGCTCTAACCCGCGTTTTGCTAGTCCCTGTGGCCTAGTGGCTAACACCCTCGCTCTTGAAATTTTCATACCCGAGTTCAATCCCCACCGGGGTCAAATCTTTTTTACTTTTTTTCTGGACTCCGGACATCCCGACAGACCGCGCTCATTACATATTTTGCTACTTTCTTGTAATCTTGATGTTTGTCATCCCTTTGTTTGCTCATCGGCGAGCGTCGGTTCCTTAAGGATAACGGGGAGGTCTTGTGCGGCTCATTGAGCAGTGTTCATTATGTGTTACTTTGATGACGTGGCACCCCTCATGTTTCTGTTTCTCTGCGCTCTCTTCTCTCTCTCTCTCTCGCTTTCCGTTTACCTGTACACTGCTTTATATGGGTGATAACGGCCTCCTCCTTACTCCGCACCGGTGATGCGTGACTCACCGGAGGGGAAAAATCGTTTTCTTTTGCCTCTCCTTCACTCTCATTGGTTATTCATGAGAAAATTGGAATAGTTCTATAATAGTAAGAAGATGGTATTGGTCATAGGTGAATCATCCTTTTGGGTTATTTTTTTAAGTTTTTGACTGTTCCATGCTTCTCAATTTTGAAAATTCTGGAAGAATCGATAAACTAGATGATAGAACTAAAAATTCCCTATCGATTGGTGTAATTTTCATAAAGATTTGTTTCAGAAAATGAGCTCAAAAACTCGAGAAACTCTCAATTTTTTGAAATTGCTCAGAATAAAATTTTCCAGTATTTCGACCATAACTCGGCTCAAAATCAATACTTCAAGTTGGTTTTTGGGCCAATTTTCAGGAAATTCAAAAGCGCGTTTAGCGGTAGAAAATTTTCACTTTTATCTTAAAAAAGGCTTAGTGGCCTAACTTTCTCAAAATTTGGATTTCTAGGCCATCATGCCAAATTTGTGTGGATTCTGCTTTAAATGACTTCTCGATCACTTCCCACTTTTCAGAACTCAAAAATATCGAGTTTCAGCTGAGTTATATTAAATTTTGTGAAATTGCTCAGAATAAAATTTTCCAGTAATTTGGCTATAACTCTGCTCAAAATGAAGCTTTCGGCTTGGTTTTAGGACCAGGTTGTAGAAAAATTAGAGGCGCATCGAGTCACATATATTTCAAATCTTAGTATGAAAATAGCTTGGTGGCCTAACTTTCTAAAAAATTGGATTTCTAGGCCATCATACCCGGCTAGGATTTGGCTTGGAGGCCTAACTTGTAGGCTATCTTTTGGTTCTGTCATCCAAGAACTTATTTTTTTTCCTACGGTTTTTTTGGCATCTTTCCCCTAGTCTAGCCCTCAAGCACGCCAAAAAATACATCAATTCCAAATGGTCACGCTCATTTCATTTCTTCCCTCCGTCCGCCTGCATGAAAACCTGAACCATTCCTCCTGATCCTCTCCTCTCCTCGGCGAGGCTTTGACCTTCCCTTCCCTTCTTATTCCAAGTCGAGTCATCTGTGTACCTTTTGTTTGCTTCCTTCCCATTCCACCCGTTACCCCTTCTACCACCAAAACAAATACATGTCTCTCTCTCTCGGTTCGGAAAGAAGAAGAGAGCACATACATGTTCGGTGCTTTTGCCATATGCTCTCTCTCTCTTTCTCTACAAATAATAATAATAATAACGAAAAATCGATAATCGTACTTTCTTGGATTTTTTTTTGCTTCAAAATTTGACACCATGGTCAGGGCGGGACTGTCAAATCGGGTCTTTTTTGGCCGCGGCCCGGCAAAGTCTGGTGACCCGGATTCCAAGAATGTTGAATTTTTTCACTGAATATTCACCAAAATAGTGTAAAACTACAATTTTTATGCTCGAGATAACCCTGGAGCCCAAAATTTGGAAATTTCTTATCGATTTTTCAAAACTCGCTGTAATTTTCCGGGCCGAGCGGGCCGAACGGGCCTCCAGGCCGGGCCGGCTTTGAAAATTCATGTGAAGGCTCGGCTCGTCACAAATATGGTTTTTATATCTCGCTGCCTAGCTGTTAGATCTTTTCGATGTAAGAGGCGGCTTTGTAGAGTTGTAGGGCTCAAGAAGTTGTCGGCCCAGTTTTTGTTATCCGACGCCGACTTATAGTAAAAAGGCCGGCCGTCTGACAGTCCTGAGTCAAACCATAGACAGCACTTTTTGTTTTCAATTTTCGATTTTTTCAAATTTGAACTCGGCGCGAGCGCGTCAAATTGCTGACAGACATGCGATCCTTACCCCGTTGTCTTTTAAAGGATTGAAAAAGGCATCTAGCCATAGAAAATTCAAAATTTAGCATACAATTGATTGGTGACCTAATTTTCCCAAATTTATTATTCTAGGCCACCATGCCAAATTTGTGTGTATTCTTTCAAAATGGCTTCCTCACCATTTTCCACTTTTCAGAACTCAAAAATATCAAGTTTGAGCCGAGTTATGCTGAATTTTGTGGAATTGCTCAGAATAAAATTTCCCAGTAATTTGGCCATAACCCGGCTCAAAATGAGGATAATTTCAATTTTTTCTCATTAGAGCACCCATTCTAACACATCCTCAATTGTATTTACATGTCTACGGTGTCAAGTTTTTTTTTCTCCTGGTGTATATTGACACTTCCATGAGTCATTTCTGGAGAGTAGAGAGAGAGAAAAAACGTGTTGATCGAAACAATTTTTTCTTTTTTTTTCAAAACTGATAAGATTTTTTTCCCCTTTTTTTCCGTTTGTCAGTATCGATTTGGTGTTGTTCTCTCAGCTTTTTGTCGGTCCAAGAGCTGGTTTGTCCGGATTTCCACGAATCAAATTGTTGGACGTTTCGGTTGCATTTTTTCTATTCTTAGGTTCTGGAATATATCAATTTCAAAAAGTTTCCTGGAGATGAAACCGCGCTCTATTGATAAAATTGGCTATATTTCTTTATACATGTCTCAGAATCGAATGTTTTTTTCCAGATTCCATGAAAATCGTCAATTTTTAGATTTTCAATCGATTTCTTTTTCTCATTCACTTATCAACTTCTGCCTATTATTTTCCATGTTATCAGTCAGTCGAAACTTCTATTTTTGTCTTTTTTTCCCGTTTCGGTCTTGTTAATTTCCTCGTTTTCTTTTCGTTTTGACGCTTTAATAAAAACTTTTCGAAGTTTAATTTTTTTCAGACATAGTCTAATATGGAAATTCGACTAAGGCACTTGGCTATTGCCGCCGTCCTTTGCACAGTTGGTAAGATTTTTTTTTTGGTATTTTGAATACTTTGGATTAAAAAAAATTAGTTGTTCAAGAATTACAGAAAATGGTCTAAAACTAGGGTTTCTGGAACTTTTTTTGCTCAAAAACCATAATTTTTGGTTCTAAGTACAGTAACCTATGATCCGACTACAGTAACCCAAGACCCGACTACAGTAACCCTTTTTCAGTCTACTATGCTGACGCTCAAGGCTTGAACGATCCGATCACACAGTACATCGAGGGAAGACTCGGAAATCGACGAATCTTCTGGTGTCCATCTGGATATGGTAAGCTTTTTATGGGGTTGGCCTAGAAAACCAATTTTTGAGAAAGTTAGGCCACCATTTTTCATGAATTTTATATGACTAGATGCGCCTTCAAGTTTTCTACAGTTTGGTTTAAAAGCCTGGTCAAAATCTTTATTTAGAGCCGAGGTATAGTCGAAGTACTGAGCAATTTCCCTAAATTCAGCATAACTTGGCTCAAAATCGATTTTTTTTTTGAGTTCTGGAAACTGGATATTGAATGTGAAGTCATTTGAACTAAACCAATATAAATTTGGCATAGTGGCCTAGGAAACCAAAATTTGAAAAGTTAGGCCATCGAGCAACTTTGATAATTTTTTATATGCCTAGATGCGCATTAGGATTTTCAACAATTTGGTCCAAAAACCAGCCTTCAGTTCTCATTTTGAGCCGAGTTATAGCCAAATTACTGAAAAATTTTGTTCTGAGCAACTTCAAACAATTTATCATAACTCGGCTCAAAATCGATCTTTTTGAATTCCGGAAAATGGAAAATGCTCGAAAAGCCGTTGTAGACCATCTAGAATTTACAAAACGTTCTATTTTTCAGGTTACCTCGCTTTCTGTCCACAACCAACCGATTGGGATAACTACAACTGGTGTTGTACATTCCCCTACATGGGATCATGGAAACCGTCGTGCTGTCAATTCGCTATCCCCACTGGAGCCGTTGTCGCCATTATTCTGGCGGCTATCGTCCTGTTGTTAGGTGAGTGTGCAGACAACTAGACAGTCTAGCTTCTCTGCGTCTCTCTTTCTCATAAGGCGAGAGAGCGCGAGAGAGAGAGAAAGAGAGAGAGAGAGAGCAGACAGCTAGACAGTCTAGCTTCTTTGCGTCTCCCCTCCTGCCTTTCTGTCTCTCTATCTATAACGCTCCCTTAATTTTCAGTCCTGATCGCCATGTCTTGCTGGTGCTGCTGGTGTTGTCCGCTGTACAAGCAGTTGTACGATTTCGAGGATGAGTAGATCAAAACAAATTATCGATTTTTTTCTAAATTTTTTTTCACCCCTCACTGCCATCCCAGAGGCCTTTTTTCTATTTATTCTTATTAAAAAAATCCTTGATAGACCCCAAAAAAATCCCCATGATCCTCCATGTCCCTTTCTCCTCAATTTTTTCCAAAAATTTAGCGTAATTCCTCACTAGCCCCGCCCCCTTGGGTCCGCCCCCATTTCTTAAACTGATGATCTGTCGGTGTGTTTTTGTCCCCTCTTTTAATATTTTTTCTGTGATATCTTCTAATTCAAGAGCATGCTCTTTTATTGGAGGAATGCTGTTTCAGTTTTATGGATCTACCTGAAACTTCTTATTTATTGGAAATCATCCGTTGCTCAAAACGCTATTCTATGCTTTTTTTCGATTTTTTTTTTGAAAATAAAAATTATAAAATAAAAAAAAATGATTTGACCCCAGTGGGGATCGAACCCGGGTATTAAATTCCAAGAGCTAGAGTGCTAGCCACTAGTCCACACTTGCAATAGAAGGTGGAGTTCTAGAAACCCATGTAGGATGCTTAAAAAAAGAAAAAAAGATTTGACCCCAGTGGGGATCGAACCCGGGTTTGAAATTTATAAAACAACAGCACTAGCCACAAGGCCACGAGGGACATGGTCGTCTCTGAGATGGAGGGCGTAGAGGTGGCGGCGGTCACACGTACACCGTGGCCTAGTGGCTAGTGGTCGCGTTTTGGAATTTGGGGTCGCGGGTTCAATCCCCGCGGGGGTCAAAACTTTTTTTCTTTTTTCTAATGGTGTTTGCAGACCCAACGTCATATTTTACGACATTTTTGAATATTGAAGAAACAATCATTTTTCTTAATCACGTGACCCCTCCTCCCCTCGGCTAGACCCCTCGATTTCAGGCCCAAAACTATCATTTCTCGCATTCTCAAAATGCAAAATTCACTGATTTTGTGCTCGATTCTTCTGCTAATTTCCTTCTCATCGGCGACTCGATTCTTATTCGGTGTCGAAGTGAAATGCGACATCGACGACACGTTCTTCCTGACAATTTCGCATTGGGAGGACGACGAGAATGAATCTTGGGCTGGATATTTCATAAGCGACGACCAAATCACCAAAAAACAAAGAATCCACGCTCGAAATCACACGTTTTTGTATCAGAATGGGCGACTAAGTGGTGATATGGGATCGGAATTCGAGTTGTATGGAAGGTTATATCATAATTGTACGAGAAATGGGAAGACTCGGATGATTCGGAAGGATTTGGATGCGGCAAAGTCAGCGGATGGTATTATTTATAGAGAGTATATGGTGAATTTGACGGATAATGGAAGGGAAACTAATGATGAATAATTAGTAATAAAGAGTTTTGTTCATTCCTTTCTGATGGCGGGAGTCGAACCCGGGTATTTAAAATAAAATCCAAAAGGGATAGTGTTAGCCATTACGCCACGGTCTCTCTTGTGCAGTTGTCCCCCTTGGCAAAGTGAATAGCGCTACTGCCTTCGAACTTTTATACCAATCCATTGTTCACAAAAGTCTTCAATTTCGGAGCTCTCTTTAACAGTTCTAATTGGCTATTACAATTTGGCAGAAACACTTTCAGCAGGCATGGGCAATTATCGTTTCTAGGACGCCCGAGACGATAGACTTCCGTTGATACTCCTAAATTCAAGTGCTGCATCACCATATCCACTGCTTGATAATCAAACTTTGTCTTATCCAGCTCAAAATAAGATTTGTATTCGGGGATGTTAAGCGTTACTACGCTTCTGGACCGCTCCTTCTTTTCAGCATCACTATATCTAACTTTAATGCCGTCATTGGTGTCCCCCAATACCTTCATCAGTTCCTCCACTTTCTTATTCTGCTCCTAAACAGCGGCTTCCAGAAATACTATCTTCTCATTTGCCAATTTCATTTCCTTTTCCAAACGTTCAATCTTCTTTTTCATCAATTTTTCGACACTTGCATCCAGAATTCTAAACAAATCTTCAGATGAAAAACAGTTGCGATTCTCGTTCCGTATCACATTCACGATATCCATCGACTCATCCCTAACTTCGAGTTTCTTCTTCTTTTCCGTAGTCTCTTTTGGTGGCGTCATTTAAAAAAAAACCGTGAATGAAACTTAGTGATTTTGAAAAGTTATGTTAAGAGGACGCTCAACTTTTATACCTGAGAGGCCATCTTCAATCTGTGGGAGCAGCTATGTCCCCTCTTTTTCCTCGAGGCCGTGATGGAAGTTTTCTCTAGCAGTGGTCTGCCTTATATAATATCAATATCACGGTTGTACGACAGGTGATGTATTAATAAGTAAGAATTATATATATAAAGATACAAAATACATGTATAAAGATTATAAGAACTAACACAAAGAATAAAACGTCAAGTTAATGTTACAAGGTCCTGAAGAACTTATAGTTCGGTCCAAGCAGAAAATGTCTACCGAAACTAAAGCTAAGAAGGGGAGATTTATAATCCCAGCAACATTGTAGGAAATATGCGTTCTAGACAGTGTAATTCATCAATCACAAACGGTTCGAGAACTTGGTACCAATATTCCAATACAGCTTCTCCGATAGGGAATCCCAGACGATTAGCAATGTTGGCAACTCTTTGGCGCAATTGTTTTATAATTGAGCTGACAAAGTCAGATAGCTCTAAAAATGAGAAAAAATATTAGAGTTGGAGCTGATGACTTATTACCTCCTTTACTCTCTTTCAAAGCAGACAGAAAGATTTCATTTGCTAAAAGTTGGAAGAACGGGTTTCACCAGATTTTAAAGAAAATAATGTTTTTTTTTAGAAATTTCGGATAAAAAAATACCTTCCTTCACAACAAATTCACGCACAGCCAACAATGTCGGTAGTTGTTCGTTATACTTTTTTACGAATTCAGTTGTATTCTGACCGAATGTTGAGACTGGTCGTACGCATTTGTACTTAAAATGAGATAATCTGTGTCAACCTCTTTGAAGAAAAAAAGTGAAAACAAACCACGTAATCCAAGAGAAGCGACGGTTGCTGGAATAAATCTAATCTCATCCGCTTTCATGGAAAATCACTTACGGTAGTAGGTGGATCCTCACCACTTACAGTATCAGCAAGTATCACAATAACTAGCAGCGCGAACAATCGCATGTTGAAAGTGGCATTTCTTAGATTGACTCACTATATTTATACTGTGAAAGTTCTATGTGTTCTAATACTCTCACTGATAAAAGCCGTACTTTCAAAGGAACCGCTTGTTCTTTTTATGATGTGCAGTCAAACTTTTGAGGATATAAAATTTTGATCATAAAAGTTTTGAAGCGCTAAATATTTTAATGCGTTTTTGGGCGAAAATTGATCTTTATGAGTTTCGGAAAATCGTTAACATAGCGATTTCAACGCGCATTCTTTGTGAGAATCAAGGAACTCACGGAACAAATTCCAATACTCTTCCACAGAGGACGAATTTCTATCGGAAACTTTTGATGGCGTGATTTCAAGAATTTTTCAAAGAAAATTCAGAGAGATCAATTTCTTAAATTGGCTGGGGGAGCCTCTGGAGCTTTTGCAAGATCTTGCGAATAATGTTCCATAACAAAATCTTCTTTATTGTCAGAATTTTCTTATACAACAACACTGATATCAGAAACTGATAAATAGGAAATCACTGTTTCTTCTTCCCGATTTCCCCTTCTGTTGCCAGAACCTCCAACGGGAATATAAGTCATTTGGAATTCAGGAATCACTTCTTCTTCCTTCTTGTCGTTCTCTTTCACTTTTCTTTGAACCCATGCTTTTACAGGTGACCAATTACATAAATAAACAGTCAGAATCCATAGAAAAGGGCAATAATATAAATTGAATATGAACTTATCGACTGAGAATGGAATATCTGGGGTTTCAGTAAAAATAGTTCTGATGATTGTGATAATACGATAGGTTAGAGTGGCCAATAATGATAAGATTGAGTTGATTATTATTGAAAATCCTTTTTCATCAATTTGAAGGCGAAAGAATTTCCATTGTAAAAAGACGGTGAATATTAAACAAAGAATGAACACATCGATGCACAATAAGAAGAAATCAAACTTGACTTCCTTGTTCCATATATCAAAAACGAGCCATTCTGAAAGAAAACTTTTAAAATTGCAAAACAATTGGTGACCTAGGAATTCTGAAACTGTGGAAACTAGACCAACAAACTTTGAATCAGATCGATGGCCTAAAAATCTCAGATTTTGAAGTTCTAGGCCACATGACTTTCATTTCTAATTGAAAATTGAGATAAAGCAACCTAGCTACCCTCTTTTTTTAGCGACACTCTTTTTTGGGTTTCTAGGCCATGCCAGTTTGACTACAGTACCGTTTCCCGTTCTAAAGTATATAGTGAATTTCCGTTGTTTTCTCTGGTACCGCAGGACTTCCCGATCATTTTCCACTTTTCAGAACTCAAAAATATTGACTTTAAGCCGAGTTATTCTAAGTTTTGTGAAATTGCTTAGAATAAAATATTACAGTAGTTCGACTATAACTCGGCTCATAATGAAGATTTCGACTTGATTTTTTGACTAATTTGTAGGGAACTCAAATGCGTATCTATTCTTACAAAACTAAAAATCTAGCATGAAAATGGCTTGGTGCCCTAACGCCACTCTGATTCAGAGTCCTCAAATTCAAATTCAAAGACTCACTTTTACAGTTCACCACTCTTAAAACCACAAAGACAGGGATCATGAGACAAGAGAAAGCAGGTCGGTTCCATTTTGTGTCAAACAACGCAACATGAATAAATTTGATTTTGAAAATCACAAAAAGCATCTGAAGAATGATGAAACAAGACAGTATATAGCTTCCAAAAGCGAGTGGCACTGTAGACAATACTCCAATGATCAGAAATATGCTCTGTTCTACTTTATGTGATTTGGCAATGCTATATGTTGTAACCAACACGTGGAAATACATATAGGAATGAAATGGTAAGAATGGAGAAAATTGGCGGAATTTTTTCATTTTGAGTATGTACAAAACGATGAGAATTATGGGGAATGGTAGATTAATCAACGCTTTTTGCAAATTTTTTGAATATTGCTCAGAGCCATCGAACCATATTGCAGTTGCATTTGGATCAAGTTGAGCGAAATGCATTTGGAGGGAAAAGAGCTTAGGAATGAATGTGAGATGGTAGAAGAAATCACCATAACTACGAGCAGGTGATGTTTGGAATAGGCAGGTGGATTCGAAACAAGCCAAAATCTGGACTATTGATTGAATTTTCCGGGATTTTTTCGGAATTTTTTCAGGGGTTTTTCCGGGGTTTTTTCGGAATTTTTTCCGGTTTTTTTCCGGGTTTTTTCGGAATTTTTTCAGGGTTTTTACCGGGTTTTTTCGGAATTTTTTCAGGGTTTTTACCGGGTTTTTTCGGAATTTTTTCAGGGTTTTTACCGGGTTTTTTCGGAATTTTTTCAGGGTTTTTACCGGGTTTTTTCGGAATTTTTTCAGGGTTTTTACCGGGTTTTTTCGGAATTTTTTCAGGGTTTTTACCGGGTTTTTTCGGAATTTTTTCAGGGTTTTTACCGGGTTTTTTCGGAATTTTTTCAGGGTTTTTACCGGGTTTTTTCGGAGTTTTTTCCGGGGGTTTTCTTAGGTTTTCCGGGGTTTCCGTGGTTTTTTCGGCATTTTTCTGGGATTTTTTCCGGGATTTTTCGGAATTTTTTCCGGTTTTTTCGGAGTTTTTTCAGGGTTTTTTCCGGGTTTTTTCCGGATTTTTCCG